TAATAATGATAATATTAATAATGATAATAATAATAATAATAATAATAATAGTCTATTTAATCACGTGTCGTCCAAGAGCGTAGAGTTCGTTCAAAACACGAACCTGCAAACATCTGAGTGGCAAGAACAAATCCATCAATAACTTCCTCTACAAATATTTCTCAATTTTGCCGAGTTTTGGTATTTGTCCGCTGCTCTGTTACGCTCACCAAGACTCTATAAGAAATTACTACATTAATTCGCTTTGGCGTCTTTAATTTTCAATTTTTAATTTTGGTGTCTGTAATTTTTCAATTTGTTGTTAATCTTGTTGTTTGTTCCCTCGTCTCCTTTTCTCTTTGTTTTTTTCTTTCTTTTTTTTTCTTCTTTTTTTCTGTTTATAATCTTTAGAATAACCAATATTTCCACGAAAAAAATGTAGTTAAAAATCGACCAGACCATAACTGAAAACGAAATATAAAAGCTCTATTCATCTCAGCGTCTGTCTCCTGCAATCCTTGTTTAATAACAATCATGCACAAATTGGTTTATTTAAAGCTTCTCTTTCAAAACTCATGTTATTTTAAACTCTATCTTCAGGCAAGCTATTTTTAGTTGCTTTATCGTCCGAAAAAAGCATTTCATTTTAGTTCAAAGATGACCGAAAAAAAACCATTTCTACTTATTTTGTTCTTGCCATTTTAGTACAGCTTTTTTACTCCGATCGTGACTTTCAAAACAGCGAGCAAGAGACTGCTTAAATATTTTCGTGACAAGATGAATGATCATGTTTGCGATAGGTTTTCCAACATTTTAATATTTAAAAATATTATTTATTCTATGAACGTTTACTCGTTTAATGAATATTTGGTTCGGAATCTGATATTTTATAATAATTCAGTTGGTATGTTTTATATTCAATTCGCACTTTCTTTTCTTTTAAAATGAAGAATGAAGAGTAGACATTTAGAGCATTTGTTCGAGATGCTTTTGATTTTGGTCGAAGTACTTTCTATTGACGGCTTAGCAGACACTTTTTCTCATGAAAATACATTTATATATGAAATCCAATATTATGCAAATTATCCTTTTGTTTTGAACTCTTGCTGGTTTTTTTCCTTTTTTTGCATGTGATTTTGGAAATTTTATTTTCAGTCACCGCATTAAAAAATAAAAAGGCATTAAAGGAAAGATAAGGAAAGGAAAATGAATAGCGGAAAAGTAGAAGGCTTTGACAAAAAGAATCTATCCAATGCATTTTTCACTCCAATTTGTGTACAGAAAAAGTGTTTCTTAATTCCTAGATGAATTTTTAAATACTAATCAATATCGTGCCATCTCTCCTTTCCTCCCCGCTCAAACATTTCCACATATTTGCTTTGGCACCTACGTCACTTTACGTCATCAGTGTCCACACTAACGTCAATTTTTTYTTTTTTTTTTGAGTTGCTACAGACGATCAAACATTTAACCAGAATCTAGAGTATTTCATAACACATTGGAATTAGACACTCCTACGTACATCTGTGTGGAAGCGAGAGGACCCTAGTATAAAGATCCCGCGCTATGCGTTTTTTCATACATATTTAATGTTGATTATTTTAGCAATTTGTCTTCCTTGACAACGCAATTTTACAAGGCTTTGCCGACACTGCTAAGGTGTTTGGTGTCATTTACATGTCGCAAAAGTCAAATGTCTGCTCTACTACTTGGCTAGCTTGAATGGGCTCGCGTGTACGTTCGTATAAGAAACAACATTGAATGCGTGATTCGTAACCTCGTCCGATTAACTCATGAAAATGCCGAGGAAAAGAAGTATCGTGATGAAGGGCAGAAAAAAGCGTCCACGACGAATGTCAGCGCCTGCCACGGTAGGTAAACTTAAGAGCTAAGACCTGCTGTCTTCTAACTACTTCCTTATTTAGGGTTTCAACTCGAAATTCATTATATTCTAAAGAGTTGTTTTTCTAGTCTTGCTTGCTGCGTCTTGTTGTTTGTTTGAAAAGCAAATTGTCTTTCAATAGACTTTATATTCAGTTTTTGCATTTTTTTTTGAATGTCAGAGCTCGTATAAAACTTATTTTCGTAAAAAACTGCTTTCATTCTTATCAGGTGCACACAAATTACCACTTATATAATATCAGCATCTGCAACTTTATTTTTTTGGTTTTCACTTAAATGTTTAGCGTGCTATATACGATTTGTAGAGAAGTTGTTTTTGCCTTGAATTCGCAGTTACTGATAACAAGAATATTTACAACCATTATCCCCCAACTAAAATATAATAATTATACGGGCGATAGCTTCATATCTTTTTTATCAGTGTTAACACGTTTGTTATCTAGTTGTCCAAACTCGTCTCCAAAAACAGGAAGTCAAAGAAATCATTCGTCAAAAAAAATCCAATTTAACATTTTCTCTGATTCAAACAATCGTTGTCATTATGAGTGATTATTTGGACCGTAAAAATTATCTTCTTCCACTTGTAATTCCAAGTTGTTAATTCCGAATCAAATGGCATATGCTTCAAGCTGTGTTTGCGTGAGAGAAAATTAGAATTATTCACTTCCGCTCTTTGAGAATCCCTTTGTTTCTAGCAAAACGAATCGTCTCAATTTTCTCTATTCAATCTGTATTTTTTACTTTTCTCGAAATAGAAGTCAGAATTTCCCAGCTTTTAAATCACTTCCAGTATCTTTTGATTCCAATTCAAAAATCCATAGGACATTTTACTCGACTCGATTATTAATTTTTGATCTGATAGCAAATCAAACATGCAAAGCTTGTGGTTATAGTAGAATAGTTAAATGAGTCAACGCCACGTTATCATGAATAACATTAGAATATTTTCTAATAGTCAATATTGTGATGTTCTACTCCAGATTTGCATATTTCGATTATTTGATATCACATTATTTTCGCGTCACCGGAGGTCTGTACAAAATAATAACTGCACCATGATGGCTTTAGAAATTCTCTCCACTCGTAAAACAAAGATGCAAAAAACACGAGGAAAAATGAGATAATGATGCGATTATCTTATTTTACAGGAAAGATATGCATAGAAAGTAAATCTAAAAATATAACCCTATTATCATTATGTATTAATTATTTTTAGCTATTTAGTTATTATTATTTAATTACTTTTCCTTAAAAAAACGAAACCTTTAACACTTACACAGGAGGACAACATAGGATAGAGTCACGCTATTCTGCAAATTTTTTTATTCTATCTTACTCCCCAGAAAAAAAAAAATTTTTTTGTACTAGTGCTTTGGGCTACCTGTGTTGTGGTATCGCACGTTACGTCATCGCGGCCTCTCGGAGGAGGGTTTGTGCCGTTTAACAAAAGATTTCTCATTAGCATCCATTGTTAACGGCTCCACAATGTTCGCCAGGATTTTGTCTTTTAACTCTCTTGGGAATGCTTGCAACCCATCAATAGCGCAGCGCAGCCGTGACGTCATAAAAACAAAGACAAAAGCGAAATTCGGACAAACAAACTTACAAGTTTACTTTCAGCAGATAATTTTCACAGCCGATCGCAGTTGATCTTAGTTTACATAGGTTATTATTGGAACTTTAAGTAAAAATAATAAAATCGGTTCGTGTAATCCTCGTAGCGGTTAAACAGAATGCAATGTTTGTCCGAATCTTTAAGCTATTTTTAGAATCAGTGCGCTGCGTAATTGCTGGCTTTCGATTCACTCAGCTGATAAAAGTCTTTGAAGCTCATCTGCTCCACATGATGCTCAAACACTGACCACCATGTGCTGTCAGCCAGAAAGAATTATATTGAAAACTTGAGATTCAGCTGATGAACATTCTGCACGAGACATTTGTAAGGGTTTGGCCGGGAGGGGTCTGGTAACAGGACTCACACCAATCTCGTTCCCAATCTTGCGGCTTTAAAGCTGTTTTAATGCCGGAAGACTCACGAGGCGAAATTCATCTTCTTCACAAAACCTACTCACCGATTTCCTCTCCATTTTCTAATACAGTGCATTGAAAACCTCTCACTTGTTGAAGACGCTGACACATTATCGATAACATCGCGACAAAGCCTAGCAAGCGTGCGGTAAGAATCACAAATATTCGGGTCTACTAAAGTGTATTGATGGTTTTCACGGCGGCCATGTTGGAGAAACTTAACAAAAGAATTGTCAATGAATTCTTTTGTTATATCCTCCAACATGGCCGCCGTGTCTTTTGTTATTTAATTCTCTTGAGAATGGCTGAAAACCATCAATTCTTCGTTTGGAATAGACGTCATAGCCGACATGTTGGAAGAATTTGACAAAAGACTTTTCAATGAATTCTTTTGTTATATCTTCCAACGTGGCGGACATCCCTTTTGTTATTGTGCTCTCTTGGGATTGATTGCAAACCAAGAATTAGTCAAATATCTATTTCACGGGTTTAATGACTTCACTCTATGAGAAAAGAAATTTGCAATAACCTTTCTATGAACTCTGAGTAAGACAACGGCGTATTATACGAGATATTTTACTGCCCCAGAAAAGCTTCGTATATTTAATAATGCCTCCTTTGAAATCACACTCATTAACATAGCGGAAGTTAAACCATGCTGCACCAAACTGTCATACTTTGGGTGATGAATAGCGATAACAAGGTTTTTATTCACTTTAGCTTTCTCTGCTTTTCTACACATTTTTCAATAAAAATTGTCTTTTTCCAACACATTAGAACTCATGACCGTGTTTCCATATCTGGTAAAGAATCCTGTTCATTTACATAAACTTTATCCTGAACTTCCTCTGCAAAACTTAATCTTTATTATTTCTATACAAAATGAAATAATTTACCCAAGCGTTACTAATAAATACTACTCTTCCTTGTAGACTGAGGCGCTTTTTTTAATCGCCTTCTTAGCGCCAGTCTGTTATGTTAACCGCAAGTGCATTTCAAATCGATCACGTGATGCAAATGTTGTACCACGTGAACAAGGTTATTTACACCACGTGATAGAAACTTGAGAGCACTTCGGTCACTTGATATTAAAAACTATTTTTTACATAGAGTATTGACAGTTTGAATTGCATTATAAGAAATCAAAAGTCAAATAGAGATGAAAAACAATGATTTGTAAATTATAAAAACACGCCCAATAAAGGAACAAAATAATTGAATATTAAGAAATAAAATAAATAATAAAACTAATTAAGAGCAAGAAATATCAAACAACCCGCTTTTGAGTATTTTTGCGTTGCTAAGGAATCGATAGCATAGCAACGATGCCCGGTTCTTTTATACCTTGTGATTAATTAGCATGTTCGTGTTTTTTTTTCTTGGTAATTTTTTTCAAGGTCGGACTCGAGACTTTTCACTGACGACGTCGATATAAAATACTGCAAAGCGTTGAATGCTTGTAAGCTACCAAAGGTAAGGAATCCTATCGTTATTCTGATATTTTCATAGCTTATAACCACCGCAAGGACAGCAATAGTGTTGCTTAATTAACGGTGAACTGAAAGCATGTAAAGGCGCCTCTGGCCGTCGCTATACGCTCCATACTGAACACCAAGTTATCTATTTACTTCATATTTTTAAACGAAGAATAAATGCATTAAGTTCCTGAGAATTTATGGTCTGTATGAATTCCATTTTAAGCTATTTTAGAGCTAGTTTATATTTATATAACTACTCACTGTTCTCCAATAACAAAGAAAAAATAGATCTATTTGCGGTACTTTCGGTTACCTACATTTTAATTTTGAATTTCGATCTTATACCACTTTCCAATATAAGTACAAATTTACGTCAATTTTTAAAATTTTTGCTCAGATAACAAGAAAACTTGCCTGAAAACGACTGACGGCCTAGCTAAGGACCGTCGAAAAGCTTGATTTGAAAAATTGCTATATAGCATCCCTAGAAACCACAACGAATGCTATTAAACTTAACTTTGTGTTTATTGGATATTTAGTTTATATTATTATTTACTGAGCACGATTTTTGTCATRTCGGAATCTTTTTATACTCTGTCAAGTGTTTTCTGAGCCTTTCGTGTCTTTATTTTAGAACAAGTCCTTGAGGCTTTTAAAATTATTTAGTTTAACGTTTAGTTTTCTGGTCAGTATGTAAATTAATCATGGACCGACAGAAGCCGACGGATGGATGGAAAGATACCAGAATGGATAGGAGGGATGGGATGGAATGGATAAATGAATACATGGGATGGCTAGATACACAAACCAGCCAAGCAGTCGCTAAATGGTTCCTTTATACAGTAATCAAAACATATATCCAACTACCTATCATTTGAAGGGAATGCGCAAGCAAACTCACTGAATATTTTACTGCGTGAATCATACATTCCCAGCTCGTGCAAAATATCTCTTCTCCTTTCATGTATAAATAATATATTTTCTATTTTACTTCTAGATACGTTACGCGAAACTTGAGCGTCTGTTCGAACGACTACTAGACATCCGTTTTCTCAGCATCGACTTTCTCAACACGTTTCTCATCACCTACCGCGTGTTCACGCACGCCACGAACTTCCTTGATACTCTAATTCAGTTCTACTACACGCGAAACACAAGAGATACACCGTCTCCTCTCAATGAAGTCTTTTCGCCGATAGCTCGAAAAACACGGTCAGTGTCGCTCCCTAGTGACAGAAGCAACGACAAGAAACGAGGTTAGTAATGATAATACAAATAATAAATAGTTCTTGAAAGCGCATCTAACAAAAGTCTCGATGGGCCTTTTTCACGCGGCAGCCATGTTGGTTTGAACAATAGATTCCACCACGCGAAGCCTCAAATTCAAGCGCTTGAGAATTAATTTATGCTGAGGAAACAAAGGTTTTTTACTCCCATGAGAATAAACATGGCCGCCGTGTGATAAAGTCTCCATGCTTTTAACAAATGAAGCCTCAAACAGCAGCAGGTTACGATAAGTAGAAGGTATATAGAAAATATAGTTTCTAAACTCCTGTTAAACAGGAAAGGTTTGAGTGCAGATTTAAAAGCAGGAAGTACTTTACGGCATCAGGTAGATTATTCCAAAGTTAGTAGAAGTGTAGAATAGAGTTGTTTATGGCAGCCATGTTGTAACGCAATGACAATGCAATGTGTTTGTATTGACGAGAAATTTCACCACTTCCTAAAGAAGAATAGTTATGTCCTTCAACATGGCGGCCGTAAATTAAATCTGACTGTCTATAATCTTCTAACTTTCAGTAAGCCTCATGAATTCATAGGGGAAAAAATAATTGCATATTTTATCCTCGTCTTGGAGCTAGATTTTCGATCGTGAATAATTTTATTTGTGCTAGTCAACTGACTTTTCTTGTTGCCGTCAATGAAATACTTGAACTCTCTATGATATCTGTAAAAAATGAAAACCAAAATATTATTGGTAAAATTGGTTAAAAAATATTGGAACAACACTGAGAACATGAGACCTAAAAGCCAGGTGTTCAAAAACGAGCACTGTCTCATGCACGCTACAAAGCGATATACCTTTTAGAGCGGCATCCAGCATGTGAAGATCTTGATAACACTTTTCTTAGCTTTTTTTAGCTCTTCTTTTTTAAAAATTTTTTTAAGAAAATGCCAATTTTGATAATTGTTCCTTTTTTTAGTCTCGTTCTAAATGATATACTAGTCTAGCGTCGAGTAATTGTTCTTAATTTACGATTCCCTGCTTTGTTTTCAAAAAAGAGAGAGTTATCTTCTCCTGAAATAGAGCTTTTAAGCTGTAACGTATTTTCGGATCCAGCTGCTTTAAAAAAAGGCGCTTTAATAAAGCGAAAATTGTTCTAATTTCTTTAACCTTTATCAGGAACGATTTTAACTTCTTTCTTTTTCAAACCAGATATATCTTTGTTTGGAGATTAAAATGTTGAATTTACACTGCAATTGTGATTTTAAGTTGGCATAAAAAGGCGGGAAATTGATCGCGCACGCGTCTGGCAGCTGACATATACCAAAGATTCTGATTGGATGATTTAAAAAATGTTGATTGATTGCGGGAAATTGATCGCACGCGTCTGTGTAGCTGACACATATCAATGATTAAGATTGGATGATTTATAACAAAAATATTTATTGGTTCAGTTAAAAGACGGGAAATCAGTAGCTGACATTTATAAAATACTCGCGTCTGCAGCTGACAAGTATCAAAAACTCCGATCTGCTGATTTTTAACACAAATGCTGATTGGTTAATTACTTGTTTACATTTAAAAAAATATTTTGTATGTCTTGCAGGAGGTCGTAATCGTGAAAAGAAGACATCACCCCAAGAAATATCTATCACCGTGTCAGGAGCCAAGATGGCGAATCCTAACTGTAATTCAACTCATTTGAACTCCAACGTTGAAGAACCTCAGAAATCTCCTTCACGTCTCATGCCAAATGCTTACCACTCTTATCGGCGACATTCCTCTCCATCTGCCTTAGGAGACAGCGCAGCGTTCGAGTTTCCCGCCACCGCTGGCGACGTACAAAGCCCGACTGAGGAAGTACCCGAAAAACAAACAAGAAATCAAAGCTCACCTTTTCTTACGTGTGGGAATATTCGATCGCGCGCGCAGAGTACAAGTTCTGACTTGACTCAACGTGCGATGTCTGTTTCGCGGTGTCCCGATGAGACATACAGTCTGTCTTCATCGTCTACGGATGAGGAAGATGACCCAAGGTTTGAGCTTCAGTCTCCACCAAAGCTTCGCACTCGGCACCGAGCATGTTCGTCAGGACAAATTCTCGTCACGTCGCCGACTGTGGACGAAGATTCGGAATCAGAGATTGGACCAGATCCATTTAGTCCGTTAGCCACCCTTAATGCTCCACCTAACACACCTCTAACGGTATCCTCGTCATCGCATTGTATTCGCCAGTTTGGTTCTGACCAGGAAAGCCCTATCGAGAAGGCCAGGAAGAAGGTACTTAGTGTAATGGGAATAGGCCAAGAAACAGAAATTGGATCGCCGAAGAACACTAAATCTAACAGCCGCCCCCAGAGTCCCGATGTATGCGAATCTCCGGGAGTTCCTCCCTTAGTTAGTGAGGAAGACGTCAATCTAAGTCCGGAATTGCTTCGGGCAAACCTCGGCAACCGTCGGCCCAGCTCGCCCTCACGATTTGCTAAATTCGTTAAGGAAGCCGAGGAACGCCTTTCTGGAATTACCTCGCCGCGTCGACCAAGTTCCCCAGGTTTGCAAACCATGGATCGCCGACCGAGTGTTTCAATGTCTCCTTTAAATTCCCCGCGCTCGCCTCGTTCTCCTTTGTCTCCTTCGACCAACAGCGTCAATGCTGGAGTAGTTGTGACCTCGTCGAAGCCCTCGAGGAGGAGGTCAAGTATTTCACAAGCTGCGGCCGCCTTCGCTGCAGCTACCGCGGGTGCTTCTCCTTCTCCTAGTTATTGCGCAAGTTCTCCTACTATACAACGATTTCGATTCGGTAAGTACCTGACATTATATTAATGTCTGTCTGTCTGTCTGTCGGTCTGTCTGTCTGTCTGTCGATGTTTATGTCTGCATGTCTCTCTGTCAGTCGGCCTGTCGACCTATCTTATTTCCTATCTATTGATGTTTCTGTCTGTCTGCTTATCTTGTCTGTCAGTCTGTCTGTCACAGACTGCCCAATTGGACATTGTTTGTTTATTCGTCATTTAAATGGGATGTTTGTATTTACGTACCTGTTCTACATACGTGGATCTGGGTCGGAAACGAAAAGGAGAGGAGGGATTGGTGATGAGGAAGTGAGACAAAGCTTCTTCCTTTCCTCTCCCCTGGCCGTAGTCCTTTACTCGTCTTTTTACCTAGTTCTTCCCATAGCTCTTTTCGCTTCTAGTAAACACTGTGTCGTTCGACCATGTTCAATACTGTAAGTTGTTACGTCACTAACCATTGTACTGACTGTGATTGATTCCAGGGTTGACTGTACGTCACATCCTGTCACATGACACGCATCTGGCTACGATGAGAGTCCTTACAGTATTACGTCACTGGGTCACCAAACACCCCGAGGTAAGATTTCTAAGGAAATAATTGGTCATACATCTGATAGAAACCATCTTATAGGTGTCATAAAACAAACAAGTGGACTAATAATCATTCTGCGTTCCGATCGGCTAACCTATACGTGCCCATCCCATAATAAAGCTTGGGCTGCCTGTGGGAATGAATTCTTTCTCATGTAAAACGATTGTATCTGTCCTTCCATCTAACATGGCTGCCGTCACGTGGTGGTGCAAAACCTCTATAGCTGTTTCAGTTGGAATTGGATTTGTTGGAGTCTACTGAAGCTGATTGCCCTCAAAGAAGAATTTTAAACATATTAATTATTGGACTGAGATTTTATCAACGTAGGTCCTTCTCGACCCCCTCCCCTCCCCCCTCAAAAACTTTTTTGTACCCCGTGTATTAGATTAGTAGGAATGGAATTTCGAACAGCATACAGTAGTGGAAAAAAAATTTTCACCGACATCAGGTGTTGTTATTGACTATATATGCATGATAATCATGATAATGTTTCGTTTTCTAGGATTTTGATTCTGACACCAAGCTACGAGAGCAGCTTATTTCGTTTATGGATGAGATTCTACACCATGGAGGCTCTTCGAATCTTGAACAAAAGTTCGCTGCAGCAATCATCAGGTACCACGTGGATATGTGTCACGTGACTCTTCCCCAGGTCAACTGTCAATAAACCACGTGATAAACCAACAATCAATTAACCACGGGATGGAGCTTGGGCCAGTGACCAACAAATCACGTGACCAGCGCAGCTGCTGAACGTCACGTGATCCCCAACATTCCATTGTTTCTTTCACACGACAATTCTTTTTTTGAATCAACTGATCTTAAATTTTATCATTTCAAGTTGGTCTCGTTCCTAATATTTATCCTTTTCTCGTAGAACACTTGAAAGGAAACACGAAAATTCCAACTTCGAAAATCTTCTTCTTAAGCAGGTATGCGATGAATGATTTTGTATTAAAAACAACCCCTGAAACAACCTCTGGGCTTATCTAAGTCAGGACATGATTAACTCACAGATCAAACTGAAATTTAGAGTGTTGGTCCACGACTGATTTAAATACCTTCCGCATAAATTATCTACCACTCATCGCAAGAAATCGGTCAAGAGCACACCTTGTGCTTTGTAACCCTCCCGACCCACCCTCATAATCCGTGTTCGGTGATGACACGTTCTTCTTCAACGTCGGGTTCTTTTGCACTTATTCTTCGGTAAACTACGTTCTCTTAGGGGAAGCATATAGGAGGACGTAATATATATAAACATTGCTATTGTTTTATCAATGTGCCAACTATTTTAACAATAGGTTTTGTCACTTCGGATTGGCCAATAGATTTATGGTTGGCAAAAAAAAAAAAAAATTGGAATAACAAAAAATGATAATAAAATAATAATGATAATAATAAATAATGATAATAATAAATAATTTAAAATAATGATAATAATACTAACAATAATAAAAAGATTTATGGTTGGCAATTTAAATAACAATCATCCAAAACAAATTTCGCTATCGCACGCCTGTCTGTACAAATCTGCAAGCAGGATGGCGACAAAAGCACCCGACTGACATGATACTTCACGTCGTGTTAACTTACGAGCCGCGTTTGTCCCCATATCCAATTATCATTACAATGAAGTAGAGAGGATATAATATCGTTTTTGTTTCTTCTTATTTATAGCCGGCTCAAGTCGATCCCAACAGCTTCGATAAGATCTCCGCTACCCAGCTTGCTGAACAGCTCACTCACATCGAACATCAACTTTTCTCTAGAATACCAGCCCAGTAAGTCTTACTTGTACCTTAACTATGGACCCTTTTTGTTCGAAATGTTTGAGAATTGACCTCTTTACCTTCAATGTAATGTTTACCCATTTGAGACCACGTGTTTCCGGCTCTTGAGAATAAGCAACCGTTAAACAAAGAAATGGTACTCTAGGGAATGGCATGTGGTCTGACCCCTTTAAYCCAAGCTAAAGGGGTCTATAAATTGGATTCTTAGTTCAGTTGAGCTACATTTATATTTATGTATATTTTTTCACTTTTTATTTTTTTTCACTATTAAAAAAATTAGTATGCTCAAGGCGGTAAAATGCACGCATGCGTACTCACTTTCCTCTGGTGTCAATAGACCTTTTCACTGATACGGCGGCCATCTTGAATTCTATTGTTATAAAGACATGGGATGCAAAGGAGCAAATACTGGAAAATTCATAGACTGCACAGCTGTCAGGATGTCTTTTAATATAACATTACGGTTTTCAATGAGAAGCACATCTAAAAAGCAATCGAATTTGCTGGTAGCTGAAACAATATGTAAAACACCAAGATTACAAATCATTTGAAAACATAACCCCGCCACTCTATGCTTTATAAATTTCTACGTGTTTGACCTCTCGACATCCCATAATTCAAGATGGCCGCCGTATCAGTAAAAATATCTATACTATGTAGAGATTCTGTACGAAAAGAAACCGGCTCAAATTTACTATTTTTTTCTTTGATTTCCTTTATCTAGTGAATTTCTTAATTTAGCATGGATGAAAACGAACAAGAATACTCTTGCGCCGAACATCTTAAGAGTCAGTCAGCGGTTTAACGAGGTAGGATACAAGAATTTAAAGGATTGAAGGACTGGGGCGAGCTACATTCCAAAATATCTGTACTTACAGACTATTATTACAGACTCCTCTACTCAGGGTTAATCTTATTTTAGTGTATATCCACAAATATTAACAGTATACAGCTATTTCAAAAAGGTTGAATACTGCATACTGAATAGTGCATTCCAAGACAAAAATATATTTCACACAAAATCGAAATCGAGGCAAAACCTGAGCAACCTTGATCTTTTTTTATATTTGTTCGCATAGTTTATTTTTTTCTATTTTTTTATTTTTAATTTATTTTCAGGCCAGTGCTTTAGTTGCTTCGGAAATTCTGAAGCGCCAAACGCCGTCAGCGCGCGCAACGGTCATCGAGAAATGGGCCAACGTGGCGGAAACATGTAGAGACTTGCACAACTTCAACTCTGTATTAGAAATCACTTCAGCCTTCCTAAGCAGCTCTGTGTTTCGACTTAAAAAGACTTGGGAAAAGGTCTCTAAACAGGTACTTAACAGTGACTGGCTATGTTATACGTCATATTCATATCTCTGGGAGATAGGGGGGACATTGGTACTCAAACTTGAAAACGAGTGTAATTGGTCTTGAGCAAAAAAATTCATTAAATCCTTAATTCGTTTTGACTAACTTCTTTGAAATACGATATGTGCTTTCGTTCTCGTAGGCTCGTTCGCAAATCGATAAACTTCAAAAAATTGTCAGCGCTGAGGGACGTTTCAAGAACTTGCGGGATGCACTGAGATGGTGAGTTGTGCTCAGAAACATGCTAGTCTTATACAGGAATTTGGGTTGCCTGTGGATTGCCTGTGCGTCACATGAATGCGAAACCATGAGATTTAAATGATTTTTGGATCTTCTCCCTTGACAATGTATTGGTAAAGACCCCTTTAAAAAATTCCACGATGCCTTATTTTTCGCGTTTGACGTCAAATATATTCTTTTGGGAAAAACATTAATGAAAATTCAAAATAATAAATGAGCTTAAAGAGCGAAAAATAGAGCATTGTGGGAGTTATTAAAGAAGCCTATAAATCAGTTGAATATCTCATTGCCAGCATTCGAAGACTGGCAAACACTGCCCGTCATGTGATATCGAGCAGACGGCCTTCTATTGCTTCTTTTTAATTAGCTAAATGAATCTCATAAATCTTAATGCCAGCCTACAATGACACTTTCCGCGATGCTCCTTATATAGTCATACACGCACATTTCTACAGAAATCTTGCAATAGATCAGACCCTTTTAGCTTCGTTGTTTGTTGTGCACATTTCAGACCATGTGACGCCACTCTTGGGAGTTGATTTTTTTCATGTGTAAATATTTCAATATCAAAGCTATAGGTTTATGCTATGTCCATATTTATATTTGATATTGATTACGTAATGTTTGCCCTTATCAGTGCTGACCCTCCCTGTGTACCATATCTTGGATTCTACCTTACGGATCTGGCCTTCATTGAGGACGGGACGCCGGACTGTACGGAGGAAGGACTGATAAACTTCTCGAAAATGCGAATGGTACGTTAAGCTGTGCACGTCCTGTTTATATTATTGAAATTGGCTCCAAAGGGAGGTCTCATTTACCCATTTAACACCTACATTCCAATGCTTTCCAATGTTTTTACCGACACTGAGGACATAAGCAAATTCCAGTTATTTTATATTTTCAAGATCCTCTTCATAATCCATGTTTTTTTTTTCCTTCCCTTTCTCCCTTCCTTCTCATTTTTCTTCTCATTTTTCTTCTCTCCTCATCCTTCTGCATCAAACCTCCCTCCCTTTCTATTTCCTTTTTTTCCTTTTTCATTATTATCAGCATCAACATCATCACCATCATCATCATCACAATCTTCATCATCAATAATGATGATTATGTTATCCTGAAGGATTTTATTGTGTATTTTTAGATTGCGCAAGTAATCCAAGAGATTCGCCATTATCAGCAGACGACGTACTCGATAGAATGTGATGCAAAGGTATAATACGTTTGGCCTTATTGGATCCCTTATCCCTCTATTGTTGAGCGCAAAATCACTGATTCATCGGAACTAGGCAATCAATAGACCTCTTTGGCTGGGGGTAATGTTTTCCCATTTCAGACCACGTGTCATTTCTTTGAGAATAAGATTCTTTGTTTGAGCTGTATCCATATTCATGTGTCTTCTCATGTGCAACCGAGCGCAAACCTTAAACAAAGAAATAATGCTCTAGGGAATGACATGTGGTCTGAAATGAGAAAACATTACGTCAGAGCCGAAGAGGTCTATTTTGGGAACATTTCGCCCAAAAGCATGATGCGTGAATACACGGGAAAAATTTGAGAAAGATCTATAAACAACCCACAATCCAGCCAATCGGCATCACCAAGCTACGAAATCACGAAATCACAAACCAAAGCACCCACCTCTAACGAAAAAAACTCTTCATTTTGTAGGTCATCCATTACTTGATGGCGAAAGACCTTTTGATGGATGAGGACACATTATACAAAACATCGCTTCTTCTCGAACCAAGAAAAAGGAGTTCGTCCAAGACAAAACAACCGATTGAGACTGCTATTTGATCCTGAAGAAGTGGGGGAGGTCCCACCTCCAGCAAGTTGATACTATCATCTTTTCCTCGGATGGTTTTAATAGCTGAAATTAAGCCATTCGCCTTATTGGATAATGATGCGCTCGATTGACAGACATTCAATTGGTCTTTCCATGTACTAAGTACACTAGCTATTGGATATCAATTAAAGCGTTTGATTGATCTCAAGGGTTTCCCCATGACATCGATAGGTTTCATTGGAAGGCATTTAAAGGCTGTTTCCATGGTGACATCAAGGTTACATGCTATTGGATATGGATGCTTTTGATTGACATTCACATAAAGGGTTTTCCATGACAATGACCGACTTGATTGGTCTGTTTCCATGGTGACATCAAGGTTACATGCTATTGGATATGGATGCCTTTGATTGACATTCACATAAAGGGTTTTTCATTGGGCTGTTTCCATGGTGACATAAAGGCTACACGCTATTGGATATCGATAAGCTTGATTGACAGCCAGTTAAAGGGTATTATGATGTTGGTACATTTTCCTGGAGTTACCATATCAAACCATGGCTTTAATGGATTTCATGAAAACATCTTTTATCGAGAGACCTTGTGATTTTTTGGAACTAGAATACGAACACCATTTAAGTTGTTTTCCTGTAGTCTTGTTTTTCTAGTTCAAACCCGGTTTGGTGGCATATCATTTCGGAGGAACTTGCTTTGATCATACGTCTATTCTCGTTTTTCCGCCGGTTAAAAACCGGTTTAATTAGTGGGATTTCCGAGGAGGAACTTACATTGTTCATCATATGTCTACATGATATATCAAGTCGTCTCGATCTGCGGTTCTACTTGTTTTTCCGGTTCAAAACCGGTTGCGTGTGGTGGAAAGAACTTGCATATGACGAACATCATATTCTTGATTTTCCAGTTCAAACCAGTATAAGGACTTTGAAGCATTGTCTGACGACCGTCCAATCTACAAAACAAGTGGTCTCTCCAGAACATATAACATATGCAATTCTTTATTTTCCGATTCCAAACCGGTCAGTGGAGATTTTACGAGTGTTCCTTCGTCAAGTTTATTTTGTACGCAGAAGAATAGATGGAGATAAATATTGCAGTATTGTAGAAAATTGTACGAAGCCGATTGGGGGAAAATATCGAAGGAAAATATCGAAGGAAGGAAAAAGCTTAATTTGTCCAATTAGCATAAAAATGACCTCGAGATTGAAGAGTTTTTCCAAACAAAAAAGAAAGCGCAGAAAAGCGAAAAGGCAAAATTATTAACTTGTAAATCGTAAAAAGGTTCTTTAGGTATGCCATAAACTGAAAATGCTTTTGAAAAAATATATTTACCGATAGTATTTATTTTAACTAGAACTTGATATTTATTGATATATTGATAAATTTTGCCATGCAAATTTAAGCTAATATTTGCGCTAGAAATTTATAACAAAGCTAAATGTAGAAATTATTTGTTGTAAAGAATATTGTTCATCTTCGCACAGATTGAAATAAAACAAATGCTGAGTAAAGATAGTTGTTCAATCGTATAGATAGTTCACTTGTTCGCGCGCGCGTTTTGGCGCGAATTCCCGCTAAAACCACAGAAACCCCATCAACATAAGTCTACAACATTCCACAGCTAAATAGAGTACTTAAAATCGACATTGGGAATCGAGTTAACATTTATCTATACGTTTTATTTCATGAGCCTTCAAATAATATTCAAAACACTGATTTCTTTTCATACATTGAACTATAGTTCCAACTATTATTTCTGGGGAATTATATTAGTATTCAATAAAACATCTAGTTCTTTGGCTTTGCCTCGGAAAACAGAGAGTCTCTGTGAGAGAAAAAGGTATATTTTTCTCGAGGCCAGGTATTTAATGCTCATTGTGTGTTATAAAGGAAATGATATGTGGACTGAACTTGTAACGTCTATTGCTAACGTCAAATAAATAATCGCAATACTAAGATAACCGAAGATCCCCTTTCAAAATTATTTTGAATGCGAGAATAATAGGAAAATACAGAATAAATGGCCCAAATTCCACTTGAGAAAAAGTTTTGTATTTTTCTGTTTACTTTCAGAATAATTTTGAGGGCATTCTACGCCTCAGAGGAGATTGTATGGCTGTGAAAATTCGTATCGTATACCGTCATACCGTGTCGTGCAATGACCAAGTATTTTGATTGGCTTAGAAGACATTTCGCGGGCTCTGATTGGTTTAGCCCCTATCGTCAGTCCCGTGCAACTTGATTTCTCACAGCCATACTAAAAAATTCTACAAAAAAATGTATATCAAACAAAACAACAGAAATGCATTTGTAAAATGAAAGTTTTAAATTCGGTTCTATTCTAAAATTGCAAAAAGTTCGATCAGCTCATTTTTGATTTTAGGAAAAAACTGCTTCAAGGTTTGCAGCGTCCAACGAATCGTGGATAGAAGCAAACATCCCGGATGTGATGCCTGTTGAGGAGCCACGTCAGGAAACGTTCTAGACCCAGGCCGTATCCCCCATGAGGACAGGTGCCATATTTACGCTGGGAAAAAAAGCAGTATGGTTGTTTAGAAGCAAGTCACCTTTTCGGCCGCCTAGCCATCACGTGGTATAAATGGTGTCCTATTGTGTTACGGTCGCCAAGAAGTTCGGACATCGTTCTCGGATTTCGATACGAATTTACTGACTTTTAAACAAATTCTTTACTCGGTTTGTTTAGTTAGTTCWCTAATTACAAGAAAATATCATTTTTCTAACTYGGTTGAAGCTTTTCTTACTGCTGTTTAGAGAGATAACTAAAGAAATCGATCTTAATTTTCTATTTTTTAACGTCAGTACATTTGTACGGGAATCCGAGAACAAGGTCCGACGTTTTGGTGACCGTATCAGAATTCAACACCATTTATACCATGATGGCTAGCGCCGAAAAGGTGAATTTAAAACATTATTTTGCTTTCGCTCTTAAAGAATAGCAATAGTTTTGATTTAAAGAGAAGCTAAGCGACATACCTGGTCAGAGAACCAGTAATAAGGAGAGGGGTCAATACCCTCACGCTTGTAGCCTTCCATTAGCTCATCCTGTAAGAGGAAATTAATGATAAATATCAGTGAGGCAAAGCTAAGGACTTCTCAACCGAAGTCAACTTTTTTAGAATTTACTCAGCATTGGCCTCATTTCAGCGTCAAAAAAAACACACAAAAAAACAGCCAGCTGGTCTGAGAGAAAATGTTAGCTAATCAGAATCGAGAAAATTTGCCAAAACTGAAGTGTCACTTTTCCGCTTGAAATTATAGATTTCTAGGCCTCTAATTGACAAACATACGTTGCTGATAAGAGGTTGATAACAGTAACACAAGACTAATGAGTTTTATGCTTTTATTGCAATGGTGGACAGGTAAAAAAAATTATTTTCGCAGGTTTTATAACACCTCAGTTTTGCAGTGACGTCATTTCTACGTCACTATTTCGGATCAGCTGGAGATACTTTCAATCTACTCAAAACATAGAATACTCAGTATTATTTACGTAGTCCCATATCCTCATTGAGCCGCCAATGATTTCTCCTACACCAGGCATGAGCAGATCAACCTGGACATTATGAGAAAGAAAGTAACAAAATTTAGACAATAATTTTCCATATATAAAGGAAAAAACGAGATGGAACTTTCTGATTTGTCGTAGTTCACTGAACTAGCTTGTTAATCTGCAAAGCAATGTTGCATCGAGTTTCATGGACCGGACGTCATCTTGGTTCGATGACGTCATGCATGATGCTTACCGATTCAGTAAGTCTCCTGTCTTCAGGACATCGCTGCATGTAGAAAGACTTGATTTCAACTGGGAAGCGGCACAAAAAAATTGGCTGCAAGAAAGAAAATGTGTTACTATGACAACAGCATCCATAAATGACATCACTGGTCTGTTTTTCAAAAGGATATCAAACCGGTGCGGACGTGCCGTGACGTGGCCGTGAGGGTGTGCCTAATTGATTCAGCATTAATTTTTTTGTTAGCTGATTGGCTTAAAGGATATGGTCAGTTTCGTAATATGTCCGTGCCATGTACGATGATCTTAAGCAAAGGCGAGGGCAAATAAACATATCTCTTTATTTAAGTGTCTAGTCGCTCTAGCGCTTTCGCACTAATTGAGGACACTTTTCGTTCACACGCACTACCACTACATTTAATATTCTATGCACACAACGCTCACCTCACATGTCGATTTTTACGGAGGGAGGATACCAGAGAACCCGTAGAAAACTTTCGTAGCATAGGAGAGCACCGAACACCTCCGTCAAACAAATTCAATACTGTGCTCCAATCAGTAAGTCGAACGGCTTTGGAGGCCACATTGGTGAAAAACGACTAGTAGCGATGACGCCACCCATGCTACCCATTGCATGGCACGACATGGCATGCCCGTTTCAGTTATGCAAAGAGTGCTTCAAAGTGGGAATGGAATGGAAGCATGCGTTTGTAAAGAGAGATTTGAAAGTGAAAACGTAGTGGGAAAAGAAGAGAAAGCTGGCAGAGTCATACACCTAATCGGCTAACGTGTTGCTATGTACGTTACCACCCAATTCAAACCTTCTGGGAATAGGAGCGTTTGCTCTACGAATTCAACTCTGAAACCAAAATATAACGAACAATGAAACTTAGTCCCATGTGGTTTGAATTGGGTGGAAACGTTTATAGCAACACGTTAGCCGATTAGGTCTATTAGTAGCCAATCAGTATTCAGTTCCTACCTCGTTAATCTGGTCTGTCATTTTACGTTCGGGCATCTCTGGAATGTCCTGTGAAAACAGTAAACATAAGATAAGACGATCCATACCAACAGCAAGACACGCAGACAGAGACAGAGAGGCCGACATACAAGCAGACAGGCAAAAAGATAGACAGTTATTTCCACTTTGAGAATAGACCCTTTTCGAGTTCCAAATTACCGCTGTGTTCCTTGATTACAGACTCATTTACTCAGGCTTAGCCTCGAATCAGTGTCTAATTACTCGCAAATGCCAACGGTAAAGTAAAGAATGCACAACTTCAACAATACGAACACTTTGAAACTTGACGGACCTTGACTGGAACACGTGAATATTCTTCACAAAATCGAGGCTAAGCCTGAGTAAATGAGTCTGTAATCAAGAAACACAGCGGTAATTTGGAATTCGAAAAGGGTCTATTACGCGACCTTGACAACTAGAGTGCAAACAACATAACCGTGAAACTTTAGTAATACTAAATAGCACAATTTCATGCAATTCCATTGTTTTCTATTGTTTAATTAGCACTATTTTGTACTATTTAGTAATTAGTGTTTCACGGATTAATTGTTTGCACTCTAGCTATAGAACTTATAAAATTGACATCAAACGTGGAATGACGACTTCCGGGTTCAAAACGAGAAGCACCTTTTTAGAGATTTTTCTTGCCCTTTTTTTATAAATGATTTTTTTGTCCAAAGTTCTAATTATTTTTAATTTTATTTTTAGCTATTTAAATCATTGAGAACATTGTTTCGCTTGAGCAGTTGAACCCGGAAATACGTCACAACGTTTTAAAATTCAATATCTTAAAATCAGACTTGATTGCGAGGCTTTAGTCGTATGGTACTTCATGTACTGTACAAACACGTGGATTACCAAATATATTTATTGGTAGGAATAAAATAATGTTCCATATACGACGTTTCTACCTTTCGGCGATAAAAAGGAAATTTTGGTAGAAAGGCTAGTCAGTTTACATCCTCGGGGACCCAGGACTAGAATTTTACCCTGGGTTCCCGAGGATGGTCAGTTCACTACTCAACAGTGTTATAATCGAATCTACAACACTATACCTACTGATCCTTTGGAGGTTTTTAAAATGCATTTTGTGCTAGAATTATCTCGAGCGTGACCTTTAGGCTGAAGCCAAGACCTCTTGATGTCCTAATCGCGGCGTAATCATGAGCCTGGCTAAGAAAGCAAGGCATTTATGTTTCACGCACCTCTCCAAATTCATAGTACGTGCCATCTTCTTTCTTGATGTCATTTTCTTTCAGATATACTATTGCATCAGCATAATTCATTCGCCTGTAAGAGAACAACATTTCCATTGACAAGTGCGTCTATCTTACATTATTGATGTACTAGTTGTCAAGAATAGACCTCTTTACCTCGGGCGTATTGCTTTGCTCATTTCAGACCACGTCTCATTCTCTTGAGAATAAGATTCTTTGTTTAAGTTGTATCGATATTTATGTGTCTTCTTATGTGAAACCAATAAACAAAGAAACGATACTCAAGGTAATGACACGTGGTCTGAAATAGGAGAATATCGTATCAAGACGAATAAGGTTTATTTAGTCAACTAGTTACCCACCTAAAAGGTCTTTTGGGAGGCTTGAAGTCCTGAAGAAAAGATTAAGGTAACATCAATGATATTTTTATTTATTTTCGTCATCAAACTAGGGGATTTAAGGCCAAACAAAAAGAAAAGTTCGTTTGCTGTTGCGCGATTAACCCTAATTTTCTTGCCTATTTTTGCCAACCCTAATATTTTTTTCATTCCCAAATGAACCACAGGGTTCCCAAAAAGCTCATTTCCACTCTTGTATCAGTAAAACAAATCCGACTTACCGACCCCAATTATTTTTCTCATGCAACAGGAAACACACTTTTTTTTTTGTTTGCATTAGGCAGGTAGCAGTGTTAGGTTTCGCTATGGGAGGAAAGCCAGAGAACCCAGAGAAAAACCCTTGCATCGAGGGAGAGACCTAACAAACTCTACCCAAATGTGATGCCTAGTCTAGAAAAATTTGCGCACTCTCAGATCTACAACCATGGAGTATCTAGAAGACCAAAGATCTCGTCTGGTGACATATGGTGACAGATCTTTTTACGTTGCTGGCCCTAAACTGTGGAATGACCTCCCACTTCAAATTAGGAAAAGTTCTTCGATCCAATTATTTAAAAATGAACTGAAAACTCATTTGTTCAAGAACTTTGTCTCCTCTGGTTCAAAGTGAACATCAATGAACTATGACATTTCATTAATATTGTAACATACGTCTGGTATTTATTTTATTTCTTATTGTGAAGCGCCATGAATTTTGATATGTGCGCTATATAAGTTCCATTATTATTATTATTATTATTATTATTATTAGTCAAGGAATCAAATCCAAGACCCGAGACGCGATTAACGCTTTATGAGTACCGGAAAAACGGCGAGGAGAGAATCCAGGATAAAGTACAGTCTTAAATGATTTGCACTATACACTAGTGCTAAACAATGGTACGCTATTTAAAAATGAAGAGGTCTTGTTACTTACAGGGTTCAGCTCGTGTAGAAGATGTGCAAAGGGTGATTTCAACACTCTGTCAACAACATCACAGACCTGAAAGCATCAAAAAATTTTTTTAGGGCAACAGCAAGAAAAACAGAAGCAACAACGACAGTAGAAAGCAAAACAGAAGCAGCAACAACAGCACAAACAACAACAGCACAAACAACAACAGCAACAACAACAGCAGCAACAACAACAGCACAAACAACAACAGCAGCAACAACAGCAGCAACAACAACAACAACAGCAACAACAGCACAAACAACCACAACAACAACAGCACAAACAACCAAAACAAAAACAGCAACAACAACAATAACAAAAACAACAACAGCAGCAGCAACAATATTAACAGAAGCAACGACAGCACAAACAAAAACAACAGCAGCAAAAACAGCAGCAACAACAGCAGCACAAACAACAGCAACTGCAATGCAAGTCACACCACCTTCTCAAAGGATTCCTTGATCTAGGGCTGAATCTAGACTCACCAGATCCTCCAGTCTGTTCAACAGATCATCAAAGCTTATAAAAGGACACTCTGCCTCTACATGGGTATACCTATAATGGAGAAAAACATCAAACAATAATAAAATAAATAAAAGAGTATTTATATAGCGCATCCTGAGAGCCTCGATTCGCTTTACAGTAAAGATAATTAAAAATAAAATTAATATCTAAAAATTTGTACTAATACTGAGAAATATATGCACACACACACATAATACGCACATGAAACATGTACATACATGTACATGCACATACACAATCTAAATACATTTTTAATATCATTTAATTTTCAAACTTGTTTCTTTGTTCGCACATCTATGTGAATTCACAAAAAACATTGGTGATGACCAGAATGCTTGAAAGCCTAGTTCTAAATATTTTTATTACAAAAAATGCAGACGTAACTAAATTTAATCTAAGTCAAAGAAGAAGAAAAAAAGACCAAAAAAATAAAAAAAGCTGAACCATACTTACTCTGACAGATGTCTTCTGGTTCTTGACTGTTCTGCTCTGTAAGATTCAGCAATACAGAACACATCACCTAAGGCTGGTATGGCAGTCTCCAAGTACAACTGGGATGACTGAGTTAAGAATGCCTGTGAAATACAATTTTTTTTTTGAAACATTGTGTTAAACAGTAATGGAATGTTTCAAAGATAGGGCGGCCATCTTGCCAGGAGGCAAAACAACTATTTTAGTTGTGTTTTTCTTTTGTTTATGGGTAAATGTGATCAATGTGCTTCCTTAATTTATCTTTATTTCTATTCTCTTGTGGTGAGCTGTTAGTATCAATCGACATCATTACTGTGGTAAAGGTTTATTTGCCCCCTGGACGACCCATCGTTGAGGTAGTCCATTAACACGTCTTTGTCTTTTTCATTTCATGTGGGAATCAGTGCTTCTCATTGGCTGAATTCGTTTCACTACTTCAATGTTTCAACACAAACGAAATTAGTCAACAAATTTCCTTGTGTCTGTTAAGCCAATCATAAGTGATCATTCAAATGGTCTGTCATGACAATTACCTCTGAAAACATTAGGAGCTATAGACAGCTATAAAATTTTGTTAACGGAGTACATTAAAAATATTGAAACGTGTGTGACCTTATTGTTCAAAATATATAATTTTAACCAAGAAAAAAAGAAAGTCCACACTTACATCTTCACCAAAGTAGTCAAATTTGAACAGTGTAGATCCTCCTTCTACTTGTGTCTGTACCATGCATGGAGGGGTCATCTACAATCAAATATTTAATAGATTAATAATAGTTTTAAATTTTTGATAATTAATGATGAAAATCACCATAGAAATCAGTCACCCATGAGAAGTCTGTATGTCGGATTTGGCACAACGACATTTACGTATGCAATTGAAGTTGAACATTTGCATGTGAAGGACCGGGAGTTAGTACAAGTTGATTCGTAAAACTCTCTGGGGTGAAAAGAATAAACGCAAGTTTGTACTGTGACATGTAGCGAAGTACAGCTGTTCAGTTGGCATTTGCAACATGTAAATCGGATATAGAATTGTTCTTATTTGCATTCAGTTTTACGACATGAATTTTCTCAATCAATCTCAAAACTTTTCGTAGAACATGAAAATGTAACATTTTGATTTTGAAAAGCAAAATACAATATTTAAACACAATCTACATTGGGCTCTACAATGGAGCAAACTTTACAAGGAGCATGCCAAAGCAAAACAAAAAAATTCTATAAAATTCTATGTACGGCTGTACATTAAAATTCACACACCTCAACATAGCCTTGATGGAAATAATGCTCTCGGAAGCTGAAACAGAAAAAATAAAAAAATAAAAAATTAGTTGTAATTTAATAACATCTTAAACATTTTAATTTTATTCCAAAATCTCCAACACAACAGTCTGATGCTCAACCAACTGAGCCAACTTGATAAATATAAATATTGTTGCCTACTCAGCAGCTCACGCAGAACCGTTGCCGAGCACCTTATTGTCCAATGAGAAGAGAGAAAATAAAATTGAAAATAAAACTTGTAACAATAGACCCGTTTCGAATTCCAAATTACCACTGTGTTTCTTGATTACAGACTCAATTGCACAGGGTTAGCCTCGAGTTTGTGCAGAATATTCACGTTTTCCAGTCAAGGTCCGTCGAGTTTCAAAGTGTTCGTATTGTTGAAGTTGTGCATTCCTTACTTTACCGTTGGTATTTGTGAATATTTAAACGCTGATACAAGGTTAACCCTGTGCAAATGAGTCTGTAATCAAGGAACACAGCGGTAATTTGGAATTCGAAACTGGTCTATTCATGATATTACCATTGAGTGATGACAGAGCGCATTCGTAGGATGCGAGACAACTGCAAAGAAAAACATTTATGTTCAGCAAATGTATATTCAGCCAGCAATAGATGGGATGAAAGAGGGGAACAATGAGAAATGGGAATGGAATAGTTACTGTGCAAATGTAAATTTAGCAACAGATGGATACTAGGATGAGAGAATGGAAAATGAGAAATGAGACAGGAATACTTACAGTGTCACCTCTGATCATAATGTGTCTATTGTCAAGCTGAGTGTCAATGGCTGATTCCTGAAACAAGAAAGATGACAAAGTAAATCAGAACACTACCAAATTGGGCCACTGACCCGAGTTCGAGCCCACCATGCTCAGTTTTGTATGTGAGTAGAGTTGCTTGTTGGTTAGCTCTCCTATATGCTACGAGGGTTTTTCTCCGGGTTCTCCGGTTTTCCTCCCTCCGCAAAAATCAATTCCTAAATTCCAATTCGATCTTGGGCTTTCATAGCATGGATCTGAGGGTTCCATTCCTGATTGTCCCAATCTGTGATTAAAGCCAAAACTGGTAGATTCTATTCTGACATTATTCATTCAGGGAAACTCTGAATAGAACTCTTTACCTTGGGTTTAAATGTTTTCTCATTACAGAATAGTCTTGGGAAAAATAATCCTCTTCCCTCCCATAAATAAGTAATGGTCACTAGATGCTGTGGCAAGAGTAAGAGACTGAAACTGACCTCATTAACCAGGTTATCGACACCACCAGGAGGCGACGCACCAACTAGTTCCCAGTAATCCACAGCCATTTCATGGCCGCCAGGGGCCTGGTAAAATATTAAGTTTTACTATGAATTTTTTAAAGACTTTGATATTAAGATGAGGCGATTATATTTGGATTAAAAACAGATATAAACAAGTACACAGTATCAAGAACATCTACACACATTGACATGGTTCTTAATCAATGTACTGTATTTTATGTCCAGCTGACATGTTAGTTGACTGAATGGGCTGAGTGTTACTTGTTGACACTTGGCTGAATCACTTCATTAAAAACTCTTTCAATTCAATTCAATTCAATTCATTTTATTCACACACTTTAAATAGAAATGAATATAACAAATCATAATCGTTTATATTTACAAGTTATTCTAGATTTTATAAAAAGATAAATAAATAAATATTAATTAATATAAACAGTTACTACAGTGAGTGTGCAGTGATGGTTTAAGTAGTATAAACTTTCGAGAAAACCATCACTTTCTTGTATTGAGAAAAGATTTTCAATTCAAGAAAAACTGGCCAGTGATAGGCCAACAGTCTAATTGTATATATATTAACACATGTTAGCTGTCATAAAATACACAATAACCCACAGCATGATTTAATCAGAGAACAAGCTCAATGATAAGATACTTACAGTCTTCCCCTCAGGAAGTTCTTTTACCACTCCAAACAGACAGACAGTAGCCTCAGTAGCCAGGATAAGGGCTTCATAGGTATTGCACTAGAGGTGAGAGGAACGTTGAAATGACTTCTTTATTCAATTTTATTATATAGTTAGGATAGTACACACACACTGATTGGTAAAAAATTTTGCTTTATTAGTGAACGGAGCAAGTGCTGACACCATCCGCACACGTGAAGTGCTGCTAGATCCTGCGACCATCTTTCTTTTTGCATTTAAAAATTCAATACCGAAATAAAATAGTAGCTATATAATAAAATGAATAAAATAGCTTTTTCTTTGCTCCATTCAGTACTAAAGCACTTAGAAGAACTGTAAGCACTCAATAAGTAAGAAGCACTCACCTATGGCTCATGTTTCTCCTTACACTTCTTTCGTGCTTACATCACTTCCTGCGCGCTTTATTACTGAACAGAGCACGGAAAAAGCCAAAAACCATAACAATAATTCATTAACATAGTCTACTGTCAGTAAACCTAATGCTGGAAACAATGATTAACTGTTCCCCTTATTTACCAGTTATCTTATGTGTGCTTACCAAAGTGTCATTCAGGACACATTGAAGAAAACCAGTTCCATCTCGAAGAACAATGAACATTAAGTTCTTTCCTGAAATTCAAAAACATATCTGCATGTTATTTAGGGATGCAAGCCAACATACTGCGTCTTACCATTAATCAACGAGGCCGCCACACCTCAAGGATGATTGCCTTGCATATTATCAAGGAGATGCTGGCACATAGGACAACATGATAATGGCTGCTTAGTAGTTGCCCATGATGATCAGCCAAATCAGTTATAGCTCAGTTATACCTTAGTTCTGGATCGATGTTATTGGTCAGAATGATCCGCAAGGCAAAGGTTTGAGCAGACATCAGTCCCAATTCTGGACAGACGTTGTAAGCACTGATAAACCTTGAAGAGAAATGCCTAAAACATAAATTCTGGACTTTGTAGATCTCACCTTGTCTTCTCAGCCTATGAACCCATCCATAGATTTTCACCCTCTGCTCCCGCTGACTGAAGGTGTCTCTGATTTTGATCTGGCACAAAGAAAAAACAGAAATCATGTATCTAAAACCTGTTGACCAGCCCTGAACTTGTTTCAGGATTGGCTTGTCAGTGAACACCTAATCAATGGTACATGTAGTAGTACGGAATATGACCCACAATTGGTGCTGGTAGTGTTTTGGCCAACAACATATTAACCAATAACTAACTGACAACCTTTTGGCCATGCATCGGCCCATAGAGAGACTAAAAAAGCCCCCAAAAAGCCTTCACAGTGTTGGTCAATCATTAGCCAACAGCTGATCAATGACCATTTTCCATATTCTGCAAACTCAGTAGTTACAAGCTGCACACTGAAATTTGGTTTTTCGCTACCGTCAATCAAAAATAATCAGTCATTACTTCTTATGTTCTTGAATGGCAGCAGTCAAAAACCAAAACCAATTTTACAACAAGCCATTGAAATGTCTGAGTTCGCAGAACATTGATAACCTCAGTAAAGTACATGATTATCGGCTTGTTTATAATATTGTTTTTTTGCGCTTACCTTTTTTGCAGCAGGTAAACTTTCATCTTCTTTAATTGTAACTTTCTTTGCTTCCTCTAGGTTCTTTTCCCTCTGCTCTGATTTTTCTGCCTAGATAATCCATCAAGTTCAAGTTCTTTATTTTACACACACATATAAATATTAAAGGAGATAACAATACAGGTCAATGAGGTTATATTTACAAAAAATATTAGTAGTTGTATAATATTATAAATATAAGATAAAACAAAATAAAACAATTCAAAAATGAAAATTAACTATTGTATGGCAGTTGTTCAGCAGCGTAACACATGTATTTTCTTTACCTCTTTCTTCTCTCTTTCTTGCGATTTCCTCTTTTCTGCAGCAAAGATCTTTGTTACTTTCTTCAACTGAGCTTTGGCTAATTTCTCAAATCTCTGCTGTAAACATATTAAACAAGCATTTAACATACAATGTAATGATTTAGGGATTGTGAGGATGTTAAAAATTAAGAGAGAAAAAACATTTAATATAGTACAAATGTAAAATGTAAAATTTTTTGCTCGTATCGTTTTGATGAAAGGAAGGAAATTCAAGGAAATAAAAATCTGAGTCCCTATCAGTAAAGGTAGGTACAGTATAAAAAACTTAATTCCAGTACTCACTTCTCCATCTTCTTTGCCGTCCACCATTATGCTTGGCTGAGGTTCCTTGCCATCAGCTTGGTGCAATGCCTACGAACGTCAAAATGAATGTAAAACATTAAGAGAACATAGAAGAAAATTGGAGAATCAAAATTGGCTCATCTATTTTTTTTAAGTCGGCATAATATATACAGGCAGAGTCTCACTACATTCCAATAATGTGTCTTTATCGGTTGGTTTTTCATTTTTAAATTAATATGTGTCTTTAGCCTAATGCTTTATATACAGTATTTCAAGCTTTCAGACAAAGCATCCATCTTCAGGAAATGAATTGTACAAAGTGATACACATGTAATCAAAAAAAGGAAGTAAAAACTTAAGAATAACATTTCTCCTCTCCCTAGCTCTCCTATGAATTATGACCAATACCAATTAGGCTGAGGCAAGTGTTTATCTTGCTTCTAAAGTGTTCTACAGTCCCCAGAGTCTTTTTATCAAAGAACAGAGATATAAGCAGCTGTTTTATATTGCTTTTATAAAATATAATTTTTTAAGTAAAAATATTTTCAAAATGTTTTTGAATGATTTTACACTAGCATGTCTATGAACTCTGATGTAAAATGGTAGCCAACCAATCAGCATGTATGTTATATCTCAAATATTTTATAACACTACCTACATGCATAACAGTTTTGAATGGCTTCTGAAAAGACCCATCTCCAGTCTCATCACTTCCTTCCTTTTCAGACGTGTACATCACTGGACCATTTGCTATTGATTAAAAAAAACACAAATTAAAAATATTTTAATTTGAGTAGAAAGTGAACGTACAGACTAAAAGGAATCTTTAATTCCTGTAGGAAAAACTTGATACCCTAGGGAGTTATAGGAATAAACTAACCTAATCCTTCTACTGAACAGCTCATTCTAGCAGCCTGTATAAGTGAGATCTGTAGGGGAATTCGGGGAATAACTTTTTTGGTTTCAATCGATAATGTTTGATTTCTGAACTGCAAGGCAAGAGCTCGCAATGAACTTGGTGACAAGACTGTTCTCAGCTGCCGTACTCCTAACCTGTACATCATTATATAGAGTGAGTTCCTAAGAGAGATACAGGGGAATAGGGTTACCAGACAATATCATGAATAATATATGATTATAGCATGACTTAAACACAAGTTTTGTCCTTTCAAAATTTTATGGTGTTTTGGGCTTCCTGTGGAAGAGATATACACCTTTTGCCGTTCATTAACAGAAAATGTACATTCATTTGTGCCAATAGTTGTATCAATAACGTGTAATGTACTTTCATCAACACCACAAGTAACATCATTAGCGCAGATCAACTTTCAATAACGACAATTGAATATGCGTGTACATTCATAGGCATCAATGGACAATCAATAGCGCGTTCATACATTCATATGCGCGGAATGTATTTTCTTGTGCGCGAAATTCAACTTCAATAACACCAAATGACAGACAATTGCATTTATGGACAATCATTTACCCAAAAGTGAAAATTCATTAGCGCTATTAGCATAATCATTGACAATCTATAACGCACTTGGACAATCATGAGGGTCAACGTTATTTTCTATAGCGTGGTTCGACAAACATTTGCGTGATTCGAATAAACAATAAGAGAAATAAAACAATATGGGTGCAAACAGAAACTAATATAAATGTAAATATTACCATTATATTTTTTTATTCAAATATTAAAACAACCTCTGGGCTGATCTAAGTCAGGGCATGGGTACAAAGTTTAGCACTGTTTTCTAAGAAAACGGAACAACTAAACTCCGAGAAATCGAGAATATGGATTCATATTATCGTAAACAAGCTAACTAGTTACTAAAAAGTGAGGTTTTTTTTCCAGCCACAACTCAGGTCTCATACCTTAAATATCTTAAATTTGCATAACAAAGAAAGTGAAAGTTGTTTTTACCGAAAGGGAGGACAATTATTAAACACGGTTTTGAAAATTAATAATTTTCTCTTTCCAAGAAAAATAAGGAATCTCAAGCCATGAAAATGGAATTAAAGGAATAAAATTATCTTTATCTTAAAATAGTACAGGATTTTCATTGTTTAAATGAATTTGAGAATTGTTTAATCAAAAGGTGTTTCGCGGAAGATGTCTTTATACAAAATTGGTTCACAAAGGCTGAATACTTCTTGAAGACAGAATAATACTGAATACAAATTTTAAAGCAAGAAAAATGAAAAATCAAATGCCACGTGCAGAGATCAATTCTTTCATTTTGGGAGTGGGTATTTATTTCCTGTAAAATCTATGAACAAAAAGTTAAGAAATCTTACCTTGGAGGCTCATATCTGCAGTTTGGGATGCGAGATCTCCGTCAGCCATTATTTTTCAAGGTATTTATGAAGGATTGTAGCTCTGATTACGCTTTCTAACCAAGTTTTTTTGGAGGAATATTTGATCGAAACAACAAAATACCGGCTACTATTGCATCAGGCAAGACCTCCAATGCGCATGACTATTCCACAGGGAACCCAGAAAACAATCATTTACAAATCATAAAATAAACAAGAAAATAAATATATAAGATATTTGTATCAAAAACGAAATTATCCAGGTTTGATAACTATTTTCACAAAACGAAAAAAGTTAAATAATAAAATAAGTTAAGTATATAAGTATATAAATAAGTATTTCAACTGCAATATTTTACTTCGATAAAGTCCGATTGTAAAACTACTTTTATTATCATTATGTGGGCTAGAACAGACTTGTATAAGCGCTATATAAGCCATATATTATTATTTATTTTTATTATTTACCTGAGGAGAGAGATTTTTGATATTCTAGAGGGGAGGGGAGGGGATCTTTTAGACAGGTTGCCTTACCCTCCCCTCCCCTCCCCTCTTATTTCTATGATTAGACACCAGTCTTCCGTCAGACAGTGAAAAACAAGATGGCGAACGAGGAGCGCAAATTCAACATTCTTCATCAAATCTGCTAAAATTCGCTGAAGATGGACGATAAAACACGGTTTGAATAGTTATAATGTGACTGGAAAATGTAATGGTTATTGCAGAAGAAGATATGAAGATGTGCAAGCAATTCGATAAAAAAGACAGAGCTTTGTGCAAAGTTTGGAACAAAATGGAACGAAATTGTAGTAAAAAATGAACTTAATTTTATCTAAAAATATTGATGAATRTAATGCGTAACAGCACAGAAATGTCCAAATGCAGTCAACGGAAAGTATTGATATAAGAATAGAGAAATATTCAGAAAAGGGAGAAGGATTTTTAAACTAAAGCTAGAAAAATGTACCGAAGTATGTTGAAGAAGTCATTGTGTGCCAAAACTGTCACCAGAACGATTCGTTTTTCAAGTGGCGTCTACAATTGTATGAAATTTAAAAGAAAACGTTTAAGAACTTACTGCACTACTTCGAATGACGGGCAGAATGCCAGGTTCAATCAAGTTGAAATACAAATGCTCTCAGAGGCACTTCATAAACAAATATTCCCTGGTGAATTCGCAGAATACAATGCAGAAGCCGTAAGAAAATGTGTAAAGCACTTAGAAGAACATCAACTTTGGGGCAAGAACAAGTCTATACTCCCTGACGTTAACTTAAAACTTCCAGCATTACTTGGAGCAAACATTGATGAACATTTTAAGATTATTGCGAAGCAACAAAGTAAAGCATATTTTGACATGACGGAAGAGTTGGCAGTGACGACACTTCCACCTCTACCAGAAGAGTGGTTGTTTGCACCAGGATGGCATAAATATGAAAAGGCAGATGCAGGATTTAAGGTTGTTGCTGTTGAATACCCAGAAGAAGATGGTTTTGTTTTTGATGTGGAAGTCTGTCAGAATGGAGGACCATTCCCAACCCTTGCTGTGGCTGCTTCTTCAAAGGCTTGGTATATTTTATTGATTCTCTAATAAAAATTGATAAATATTAATTAGATGGAAGGATGGAAGGAATATGATCAATCTTAAGGGGATGAAAAGATAAATAAGATAGACAGAATTTCTCTTTGGGATTCCATACCCTTCTATTTGCTTCTCTTCAATTCCTTTTTATACAGTACCCTTCAGTTCTCTTTTCTCTCTTCTTGGGAAGTATGGGTGTCAAAGAGGTGGATAGCACTCACCTATCACCAAGGTGACCCAGGTTTGATTCTCAGGTTCTGTGTTGCATGTGATTAGAGTGGCTTGCTGTTTTTTTCCTGTGCTTTGAGAGTTTTT